TGCGGGGGAGCAAAACGGGGGAGCTGCCGGTGCAATTCATTAAGCAGGAGCCAAAACGAGCGTACACGGCCGAGCAAGCAGATAGCGAAGGGAGAGGGAAGGCGGGCCTAGTGGGCGAAGCAGCGGTAGCGAATGCGTGGCAGGAACCAATCAGGCTGGTGGAGCTGTTCGGGGGAATAGGCGCAGGGTTGGCAGCGGTGCTCAGAGCGGGAGTAGCGGTGAAGGAGTGGATATACGTGGAGAAGGACGGACAGGTGAGGAAGATGGCTGAACAACATGCAAGGAGGCTGCAGAAAGAGCATCCAGAGCTACTAGAGGAGGCCGTGATAAGCAAAGCAATGTCAGGGACGCTGACCGACGTGAGGAACGTGACACGAGAAGTGGTGAGGGGCTGGGGGCAGGTGGACCTGCTGGTAGCAGGGTGGGAGTGCCAGGCCGTCTCGAGAGCAGGGAAAGGAAAGGGGTTAGAGGATCCAAGGGGAGCACTGCTCATCAATTTGCTGAGCATCATAGACTGGATCAAGGAAAGACAGGAGAAGGTGGTGTACCTGCTGGAGCACATAGATCTAGAGGGAGACTGCCGGGAACCAGTCAGAAAAATCCAAGAGTTAGTGACAAGGAAGCTGGGAAAGGGCGTGAGGTGTGATGCGGCCAGGCTGGGGGCACGGGCTCACCGTGTCAGAAGGTATTGGCAAAATGTCGTGACGGACGAACAACTGCAGAGGGAGCTGGATGGGATACGAAGGGACTGGAGCAGGACGGTGCAAGAGATATTAGAGCCAGGCAGGACAGCGGCGCCGGTAAGGAAAGGCAGGCACGAGACACAGTGCCCATGCAACAAGGTGGGGGCAGTACGCAGGGCTTGGCCGACACTGGTGGGGTACAAGGGGGCAGCCGGGTTCAGGGAGGAAGGAGGAGTGCCAGGAGAAGGCATGGTGTACGATCATAAGACAAAGCAGTGGGAGGAACCAACGGCACTGGAGCGGGAGCTGGCAATGGGGTATGGGGAAGACATAACGAAGGCAGCAGGGGTGACAGAACAGGAAAGGAGGAAGGCATTAGGACAGGCAATGGATGGACAGGTGATGCAGTGGCTGATGCGCCGAATGTGGAGAGGGCTGGTGCTGGAAGGGGAGCAGGAGCTGCGGAGCAAGAAGGAGGGAGTAAAAAGGGTGGGGCATGGGCGTGTGTGGCAGCACAGGAAGAGCCAGCGTGGGTAGTGGGGAATGCAATGAGCGAACAGGGGAAGAAGGCAATGCAGGAGGTGCTGGCCAGGTACAGGCATGCCTTTGCATTCAACCTACAGGAGCTGGGAAAATGCACAGTGAGGGAGATGGAGCTGAAGCTGGTCACGGAGGAGCCAGTGTTTCAAAGGAAGCGGAGAATGACACCCGGGGATGAAGACATCTGCAAGGAAAAATGCAAAGAGTTGCTAGAAGCAGGGTTGATACAGAGATCAGAATCAGAGTACGCGACGCCGACAGTGGTAGCTGCACGAAAGGACCTGCTGGGGGAGGTGCTGAGTCGACGGATGTGTGGGGACTACCGAGCACTGAACAAAGTGACAGTGCCCGATAGGTACCCAATGCCGACAGCGGAGGATATTTTTGACCGACTGGGGGCAGGGGAGATCTTCAGCACGCTAGATTTGAGACAGGGCTTCAACCAGATCAAGATCAGAAAGGAGGACGTGCGGAAAACGGCATTCCATGGAGCAGACGGGCTGTACGAATGGCTGTTTATGCCATTCGGGCTGAGGAACGCGTCGGCCATCTTTCAGAGAGTAATGGACAGCGTGTTGCGGGGGCTGGAGTGTGCAGCATGTTACATAGATGACGTAGTGATATTCAGCAGGAGTGAGGAGGAGCATGTGCGAGACGTGGAGCGGACGCTGAAGGCGTTGGCGGCGGCAGGGCTGACCTGTCACCCAAAGAAGTGCAGGTGGGGGGAAGCAACGGTGCAGTACCTGGGGTATGAGGTGAGGGGCGGACAGATAGGGATTCAGCGGGCAAAGGTGGAGGTGCTGAACAGGCTGCAGCAGCCGAAGGACAGAAGCGGGCTGCGAGCGGTGCTCGGTTTTCTGAGTTACTACCGAAGGTTTGTCCCCAATTTCAGCAAGCGCGCGGCACCGCTGAACGGGCTACTGAGGGAGGACAAAAGGTGGGAGTGGGGGACAGAGCAAGAAGCGGCATTGCGAGACTTGATGGAGGCGGTACAGACAGCAACGATTCTGCAGCTGCCCAAGGCCGACAAGCCATTCTGCCTATACACTGACTGGAGCAGCCAAGGCATGGGGGCAATCCTGTGCCAAGAGCTGGATGGAGAGGAAAGGGTGGTGGCTTACGCGAGTAGGAGCTGTAACCCAGCAGAGGCCAAGTACAGCTCTTATCATGGGGAAGGGCTGGCTGCTGTGTGGGCCGTGAAGCACTTCAGAGTGTACCTGCAAGGGAGGGAATTCACATTGATCACAGATCATCAGCCGTTGCAGTGGCTGATGACCCACCAAGGGCTGACAGGGAGAAACGCGCGGTGGGCCGTGACCCTGCAGGAATATGACTTCAAAATACGCCACAGACCAGGAAAGACATTGCAGCACGTGGACGGGCTCTCAAGGAACCCGCCCGCAGCCGAGCCCGTGCACGCGCTGATGCTGCTCGCTAGGCAAGGGGAGGAGGCAGCAGCAGAAAAGCAAGGAAAGAGGGGGCCACAGGACATATGGGAGGATCCCACGGCCCTGCGGTGGATTAAAGGGGAGACAGAGGAGAACGAGCAGGTGACAGACAGGGTGAGGGCACGAGGGCATCACTACCGATGGTACCAAGGACAGCTGCAGCTGCAGTCCGTGGATGGGTGGAAGTTGGTGCCTGCGCCGCAGGAGAGGGAAGGGGTGATCGAGGAGGTACATAGGAAGCTGGGACACTTTGGGCATGAACGCACAACGCAGCTGCTCAAGACCGGCTGGTGGTGGGAAGGGATGAGGAAGCAAGTCCGAGAGTGGGTCAGTGGCTGTGAAGGTGAGAGAAGCAAGGCCAGCTTGACAAGGCCAGAGAAGCAAGGCCAGCTTGACACAGGCAAAGCAGGAGCTGCAGTCACTGCCAATAAGGGGGTTGGGGTTTCGGTGGTCTCTGGACATAGCCGGCGAGCTGCCACTGAGCAGGGGCGGAAAGCGATACATCCTACTCATGGTTGAGCATGCAAGCAAGTGGTTAGAAGTGTGTGCATTGCCGAGCAAGGACTCTAGACTGGTGGCGAGGGCATTCAAGGGACAGGTGCTGTGCAGATTTGGGGCACCAGGGGAAGTCCTCACAGATCAGGGCACGGAGTTCAAGGGGGAGTTTCAGGCGCTGCTGGATGAGGCAAAGGTGACACACAGGCAGACATCAAGGTACCATCCTCAGAGCGACGGGCTGACTGAACGGCTAGTGCAGACCCTGAAGCGGAACCTGAGGGCGTACGGAGAGAAGCGGAAGAGAGACTGGGATGAAGAGCTAGACTGGGTGGCGGCAGGGTACAGATTCGGGAAGCAGGCGTCACTGAAGGACTACTCCCCGTATAGCCTGCTGTACGGAAAGGAACCAATACTGCCTGTGGGAGCGCCAAGGGTACTGACGGGGGTGGTGAGCGTGAAGGGAGCAGACCAGTGGGTGGCGCTGGCAGAAGCACGAGCACGATACATGCGGGAAATGCTCCCGGCAGCCCTAGAGAACTTGCACACGGCACAGCTGAGAGATGCCCACAGGTATGAGCAACGACAACAGCAAGGGGGCAGGAAGGCGAAGCCAGCAGTGAGGGAGGGGCAGGAAGTGTACCTGCGCAGGGCACAGACAGACACCCTGGATGTAGGGTTGGGGACAGAGAGGTGAAAGGTTAAAGAGGTGAGGGGGTCAGGGGTGCTGGTGCTGGAGAATGAGAAGGGTGAGCGGACAGTGGATCACCAGACGAACGCAGCGGCAGTGAAGGAGAGACGGCCTCAGCAAGAGGGTCCTGTGACACGTGCACGGGCAGCCCGAGCACGAGTACAGGAGGGGGCAGGGAATGGCTGAGGAAGGAAGTACTATGCAGGGCGGAAAGGGGGAGAAAGGGACTGAGAACAGTAAGGCAGGAATAAGGGGAGCAGGCAATACAGGGGCAAGTAGCAGGTGAAAGGCAGGAAGGGAAGGGACGCCGACAGCTGTCACTGAATATCATGGTAAGTGCATCATATTCTGTAACTGTGCTAACTGGGGTGTAGAAGTAGTGTAGTAGTTGTTATTCAGTTTGAACACAGGGTAGGTGGGGCATTGGGAGGAACGCGAAGTTGGTACTATGGGGAATTGCAAGGCGCTGCGGGCACAATTCCAGGGCCCTCGGGAGACAGGAAATCTGGCACAAGGCCAATCCAAGGCCAAGGCGGCTCGAGCCCAACCCATCACGCTGAGCAACTCGCGACTGGGTGGCCTAGCATAAATTAGCCTACCCTAGCAAAGGACTCCTGTTCTCTCGTTTGTTTACCAGAGCATAGTGGACTTACGTTACCGTTCTAAGCTACTGCAGCAAGGTGACTAACGCCACTCTTGGTAGCCAGCAGTGGGAGCCTGAATCTCTCTCACAAACGAGAGAAGGCAGTGGGAATGGCTGAGGAAGGAAGTACTATGCAGGGCGGAAAGGGGGAGAAAGGGACTGAGAACAGTAAGGCAGGAATAAGGGGAGCAGGCAATACAGGGGCAAGTAGCAGGTGAAAGGCAGGAAGGGAAGGGACGCCGACACTCATGACACAAGCAGGTGGGTGCGCATGAGCTCATGACACAAGCAGGTGGGTGCGCATGAGCTCATGACACAAGCAGGTGGGTGCGCATGAGCTCATGACACAAGCAGGTGGGTGCGCATGAGCTCATGACACAAGCAGGTGGGTGCGCATGAGCTCATGACAGGATGCACTTGCTGGAGACACCGCCTGGAAAGTGGCACTGCAGCATGTACAAGCGAATGAAGGAGCTTGGTGTGTGGAGTGGAGGCGGTGCTTACATCTGCACAACATTGCCATTGCTGTTACACAACAGCGTGTCCCACACGCCGGCAGTGGCAGCGGCACCGATGAGCTGGCAAGGATTGGTGGTGGCCCACGTGGTGAAGGTGAGACCCAGGGCCGACTTGACGCTCAGCATGGCCGCCGCTGATGGCGCACAGTGGGTATGGTGGGATGGGGGCAGGGAAAGGGGGGAAAGGGTGTGAAACGGACCTGCCACCTTACAGGGTGTACAGTGGGGGCCGCGGCACCTTGCCGCGGAAATAAGGACGGGATTAAGGATGGGAAATAGATGGGAATAAGAAACGAAGGGAAGGAGGGAGGGAGGGAGGGAGGGAGGGAAAAAGGGAGAGAGGGAGGGAGAGAAAGGAGCACTTACCGTTTGAGGCGGTGAGGGGAACTGCTGTGGCGCCCATGCATGATACAGGAAGAGCGGGCTTCGCCACGTTGACAGTGCCGGTAGCCACTGCAGCAGCCGCGTTTGGTGAGCAAACTCCGTTCCCCGGCGAGCAGAAGGGCCCCACGCCGTTGGTGGTGCCGCAGATGGCACAGTCTGCTGCGGGCCTCTGAGTGGTTGAGCTGCTGGCGCACTTGGAGGGCGTGAGCAGGCAGTTGAAGACGCCGCCACAGAAGGTGTAGGTGACTGCTGGGACGTCCGTGAGGAAGTTGTATCCCACGTCCAACACTCGCAGCTGGCTGGCCAGTGCTGGCACCGACCCCATGAGGTAGTTGCCCACCATGCCACTGGCCACAGGGGGTAGCAGGGCGGGAAGGACACGGTCAATAGCGGCGTGGGCAGAATGCAGGAGCACGGAAGGTGGAAAGCTGCAGAGAGTAGAGCAACACACAGAGGGGTATAGAAGGTCTTCCCACACGACTTACAGCAGAGTGAGCTTCGGTAGGCCCACAAGGAAGGAGGGGACCTCCCCATACAAGTAGTTGTAGTGCAAGCGGCTGTGACAGCAGCAGAGGAAACAAGGGCAGTGACGAGATGAGTGCATGATGTGGTTGCAAAGATTGTGCATGCATGACCGTTGAGTCACTCGAAAATATGAGTAGCTTGAGCAAGTGTGATGAGAGACGGTGGTGGAAAGATTGAGAGAGAAACTGGAGTTGGAGAAAAGCTGAGTAGAGACAGGCACCACCACCATGGTCTCATGCTCTCACACGTTCGCCCTTGCCCCAGCACTTGTACTCACACGTTGTCCCCAACACTTGTACTCACACGTTGGCCCCAGCACTTGTAACTCACACGTCGGCCAGCAGTGGCAGGCTTTTGAAGTTAGTGGTGAAGGAGTCGAGGCGGTAAAAGTGGAGATTGCTTTGCAAGAAGCTGGTCGGGGTGGGCAGAGGGAGAAGCAGGCAGCAGTCATGTCATTGGGTGTGAACCTTAAACCGCTTGCATCACATCGAGGCTCCACACGATAACTCAAGAAGTTAAGGGTCCATACTGCAAGCATGTTCATAGACTGTCGCCTATAAGCAAGGGAAAGCATTGTGCCTATCAAGCTAGTAAAAAAAAAAAAAACAGAGGAACAACTTACAGGGCAGTAAGAGCTGTGAGAGCGGAGATGTCAGCAGGCAGTGAGCCCTTGAGTTGTGTGCTGATAAACGACCTGATTCATTTGAGACGAAGTGTTTGTTTGGAGATTACACGCAAGACAGGGTGGGCAGTTGAATTTGATGAGACAATGTATGCCTGTGAAAACGCTAAAGAAGTACAGCAGTGAGAAGATGGATGGATAATGGTTGAACTGGGAGGATGATAACGACACCTTGTTGCCGGCATGCACTCACATGGCTGACACCTTGCCGGCATGCACTCACATGGCTGACACCTTGCCGACATGCACTCACATGGCTGACACCTTGCCGACATGCACTCACATGGCTGACACCTTGCCGGCATGCACTCACATGGCTGACACCTTGCCGGCAAGCGTGCAGTAGACACCATTCCACTCGCCCGCTACAGCCACTGTTGAGTTTTCCACGCGGCACGGTGATGCGGCGTCCCACGTGGTGTAGGTGGCACCCAGCACGCTCTTGATGTTCAGCATTGCCGCGGCTGCATGGGGTGGCGCGTGGGGGTGCATGTGAGTGTGGCGTGGCAGAAATTTAAACACCGTAGAGAAACGAGAGAGAACGTCTAAACGGCCTACTGAAGAGAGGAGCTGAGAAGGAAGGATTTGTGGGGACTCACCATCCGCCGCATTGATGGGGACACTCAGGATTGCGTTGCTCTTAAATGTCACGTCAACGCCTGCTAAATGCTTTGTCGAGCTCGCAATCTTTGCATCGGTATCCGCCGCGCACGTGGCCGCCGACCCACAGCCCGAGCCATCGGTGCTGGAGCAGATGGCGCTGCAGCCGGTGCTTCTCTGCGCGCCGGCGCCGCAGTTGGCGGTGCTGGAGAAGCAGTTGGCGCTGGCACCGCAGTTGGACCAGGAGGAGCCGGTGGGCATGGTGCCGGTGAAGTAGTTGCGCCCCAACTCCAGCGACTTGATTGCCGTCACCGCGGAGGGCACCATGCCGTACAGACAGTTCTCATACAGGTTCCTGTGGAGGTGGGTCACCACACAGTGTGACACGCGTTTGGCATGAGGGGGGTTAAAATGACCAGCAAGTCGGGCAGAGACAAGGGGAGTGTCGGGGAGAGGGAGTGGAAGAGGCTGAGGGGATGGAAAGGCGAGGGAGTGGACGGAGGCAAGGCAGGGCATTCTGGGGAAGCAAAGGGGGAAGTAATCTGGTTCTGGTACGATCTTGTTACACACGATCCAAGGCAGGAGAAGGGAGCAGAGGAAGCGAGAGAACGGATGAGAAGGGATGTGGGTGGGAGAGAGGTGCGGCATCGGCGCAGCTGCTGAACTCACAGCTCTGTCACGCTGAGTGCGCTAACGAGCACACTTGGGAAAGTTCCGGTGAACCAGTTGTACTGCAAGGACCTGCCACACGTGCACCCGACAACAAGGGGAGAAAAAACAGCACGCAGATGCGGGTGCATTCGCAAAAGCTTGTTGATCTGAGCCGGAGGGCTGTCGGTGAGAGAAGCCAAAGCTGGTTTCTTTCTTGCATGACACTCCGGAATCCAGTAAGGTAAGGTCAAGCGGTGCCGATACTCACAGGGACTTCAAGGTGGTGAGGGAGCTGAAGACGCTGAGGTACTTGCCGAGGTCGTCATCCAGAATCTGGTTCATCAGCACTCTGCACACACCACCCACCAACACACCACCCGCCTTTAGGCTGGCTCTCCACACAAGTGCTATGCTGCAGACGCAGTAACAAAAACGAAAGCGTGAAGCCAAGGGCTGCACTGTGGGCCTACTCCTGTGTTCTCCTGTGTACTCACATTCCCGTTAAGGCTGTGAGCTTGCTGACGTCGGCAGGGAAGCTCTTACGAGTGGTGCCGAGGTCACGGAGGTATCTGCCACGTGGGATGGCACAAGACAAGCAGGTGGGTGCGCTCATGAGCTCATGGCACAAGCAGGTGGGTGCGATCATGAGCTCATGGCACAAGCAGGTGGGTGCGATCATGAGCTCATGAAACAAGCAGGTGGGTGCGATCATGAGCTCATGGCACAAGCAGGTGGGTGCGCACATGAGCAAGAAACTCTTGCTTCACATTTCCTTAGCTGGCATGGCAGGAATACAAAGGAAACAACGATTTGGTGCCTCAGCGCGGCGCTTAGATCTGAATGACATCGCCGTTGCTGTTGCAGGACAGCGTATCCCACACGCCAGCAGTGGCGGCGGCACCACTGAGCTGGCACGAGCTAGTGGTGGCCCACGTGGTGAAGGTGAGACCCAGGGCCGACTTGACGCTCAGCATGGCCGCCGCTGATGGCCGCAGAATGGGGCATGGTGGGATGGGGGGCAGCGAAAAGGGGAAAGGATTGTGTGAAGCAGCCAAGGCACACAGAAGGCAGGGGAAGGTGGGGCAGGGAAAAGGGGAGCAGGGAAAGGAGGAGCAGGGAAAGGGGGGGCGAAGGAGTGTGTGAACGAGCCAAGGCACACGTAAGCTAGGGAAGGGGGTGGACATTCGAGCAGGGAAAGAGGTGGCGGAGGAATGTGTGAACGAGCTCCAGTCTTGTTCGGAAGGGGGTGGAGATATTGAAACGTTCCACATTTCTCGTAGAGCAGAGCAGAACTAAGTGAGCAGAGCAGAACAGAATAGTGACAGTGATGCCGCAGGAGTGGTGACAGTGGGTGGTGGTGACAGTGACGCCGCAGGGGTGGTGACAGTGATGCCGCAGGGGGTGGTGACAGTGACGCCGCAAGGGTGGTGACAGTGACGCCGCAAGGGTGGTGACAGTGACGCCGCCATCACAAAACAAGGCCTCCTATTTTAGGCCAAAATTGGTCCAAATTTGGTCATGTGGGACTAAAATTGGCCCAAATTTGGTCCATTGGGGTAGACCAAACTTGGACTAGTTGGAAGGTTGGAAATTGGCCAAAATCAAGGCTAAACCAAGGTAGAATGCATGTCTGATTTAAGTATCTTCTTGGGCAAAATACAAGCCAAATCCAGGATGAGATTTGACCCATTTTTCTCCATACCCACACCAAGCTTGCTCATTCTTATGAACAATTCGAGCTCCGAGTAGAGGCCAAATTTTGTACTAAATAAACACTATTACAAAGCTAATATTTCCAAAACAATACCCAGAACATTAAGCTGCCTACATTGCCGCTACTCCCATACTGGAGCTCTCGTCTTCGCCACCCCCCCGTTCATGGCTGTGATGGCAAGGGTGGTGACCGTGATGCCGCAGGGGTGGTGACAGTGAAGCCGCAGGGGTGGTGGCCGTGATGCAGCAGGGGACACGTGGTGACAGTGACGCCCAGCAGGGAAGCAATCACTCACCTTCCGCTGCGTTCATGGCCACTGCTGTCCCGCCCACGCAGGTCAAGGGCAGCAGAGGCACTGACAGTGCGTTGACAGTGCCGGCAGCCACGTTAGCAGATGCGTTCGCCGTGCACACTCCTCCTCCCGTCCCAGCACAGGGCCCCACGCCGTTGGTGGTGCCGCAGATGGCACAGGTCGCCGCGGGCTTCTGAGCGGTTCCGGCGCCGGAGTTGGGGCACTTGGAGGGCGTGAGCAGGCAGTTGTTAACACCGCCACAGAAGGTGTAGGTGACTGCTGGGACGTCCGTGAGGAAGTTGTATCCCACGTCCAACACTCGCAGCCCGCTGGCCAGCGCCGGCACCGACCCCACCAGGTAGTTGTCTACCATGCCACTGGTCACACGGGGAGCAGGGCAGGCGGCGCATGGTAAATAGCGGCACACGGCATAATCAATAGCGGCACACGGCATAATCAATAGCGGCACTCGGCATAATCAATAGCGGCACACGGCATAATCAATAGCGGCACTCGGCATAATCAATAGTGTTAGAATTGAACCGTTGAATTGATTAGGAATCAAGAGGGCTTACATAGTTGAAGCTAGGGAAGGTGGGTTGGTTGGGTACCTAGCCAACATTATTGGCCCCCCACCAATAAGTTGGGTTGGAGAATTATGGGGGGGTCCCAATAATGTTGGTCAAAGTGAGCCAACATTATTGGGGGGGCCAATAATCTCCCAACCCAACCTTGGGGGCCAATAATTGGACCAAGGTTGGGTTCCAACCCCCAACTAGGCTTAACCCTAGTTTGTGCACCCAAGCACAGTTTGGGTGCTTATCTCTATCCTAGGGTTTATAGGATCAATGCAGGATACAAAAGAGTAGTATAATCTAACAAATAGCGGCACACGGCGAGGTCAATAGCAGCACACGGCGAGATCAATAGCAGCACACGGCAAGGGCACTAAGCTACCATTACAGAGAGTTAGCAAGGATAGAGCATGAGGAAGGAGAATGCGGGAGCACGGAAGGTGGAAAGCAGAAAATATCAAGATTTTCCCAGACTACTTACAGCAGAGTCATTTTTGGGAGGCCCACGAGGAAGGAGGGGACCTCCCCGTAGAAGTAGTTGTAGTGCAGGCGGCTGTGACAGCAGCACAGGCAACGAGGACAGCGATGAGATGGGAGCAAGGCGGGGCGGCATGCAGAAGGGGCACGGATGTGCAGACATGGCGTTTGAGGCGGCCCCGCAAATGGAGAAGCTTGAGCGGAGAATGAATAGAGAGGGGGAACGAGAGAGCGGGAGCAAAGGTACAGGACGCCGCGACCATGCTCTCACGCTCACGCCCTCTCCCTTGTGTGCAACCCTCCCGCACTCACATGTCGGCCAGCAGTGGCAGGCTCTTCATGTTGGTGAAGAAGAAGTCAAGGCGGTAGTTGAAGAGATTGTTCACCAGGTTGCTGGTTGGCAGACAGGGGCGGGCAGAGGGTGAAACAGGCGGTTGTCATGTCATTGTGATCAAACCTCAACCACATGCATCATGGCTTCACTAGGTAGCTCTAGGGAGTTCCACGCATCTACTGCAACTGCAAGCATGCATGCTGAAAGAAAAAGAAAGGGGAAGAAATCGATGAGCAGGCACGAGCATTGGGATTTGAAGGAAATAGAGTTGCCCAAGATAATGCAACTCACAGGAAGGTAAGAGCCGTGAGAGTGGAGATGTCAGTTGGGAAGGAGCCCTTGAGTTGTGCTGTGGGGAAGGACCTGATGTGTTTGTGGAAGGGTGTTTCGGAGAACGCAACGCAACGCAATGCAGACGCACGGCAGGTGGAACATTGAAGAGGCACGGCAGGTGAAACATTGGAGACGCATGGCAGGTGAAACATTGGAGATGCACGGCAGGTGAAACATTGAAGACGCACAGCGGTCAGAGGATGCACGTATGCTGCTTGAAACGGGACGATGATAACGACACGCTCTGACGATGAAATCTTGCCAGCATGCACTCACAAGGCCGACACTTTGCCGCCAAGCGTGCAGAAGACGCCCGTCCACTCGCCCGCAACAGCCGTTGTGGAGTAACACGCTCTTGATGTTCAGCATTGCCGCCGCTGCACGGGAGTACGCATGCAGGTGCGCATGGGAGTGTGGTGTAGCAGAAACCCAAGACAACGTAGCACTACAAAAGAGAATATCTGAAAAGCCAACAGACGA